ACGCGGATGAGATCCCCAAGCGATTTGGACAGAGACAAAGCCTCTGCCACTACACTATCAAAGACAACAAGGTGCCTCCACCTATGACACCCGGAACACAGAAGAAATAGGCAATATGATGAACAGTAGGATTAGGATCATTCTTAGCAAACGGACAATATTCTTTTTTTCTTTCAAATACTATCCTTTAGGCCAAATAGTAACTAGGTCCTTGTGATATAGTAAAGTAGGCCAGGAGAGCCTGGAGCAATGTGACACACCTGTAGGAAGAACAGTTTATAAACCAGGTGCGTGTAAGGGTACAATCTTCTCAAAATACCACTGTGGACGTCCACCCAGGTTCCTGTAATAGTGATACTTCTGAAGTCCTGTTGCCAAAATGCAAGCATTACTTGGGAGCATCCAGAAATGTATCATTTGCCAGACATTTAATACCACATGGTAATAGATACATTCTGTTTTGAAACAGGTTGAGTCCAAACAACATTTCGTAATTTTAGGTTCACTATTGACTAAGTTCATCCTTTTTTCCTCTGTGTAATGGAAACGCTAGTCTGAAAGTCCAGCCCAACTTTAGGTCCACTTCTGAGCATCCAGAGCTTTGAGCTTATCACATCGTCGTCATCAGCAGCAAAGTACATTTGCAATCAAGCATACGTGAATTCCTGAACACCCCAGTATTTGTTCATATTGATAAAGCTTTATTATATTTTCTTTAGGTCTACGTTCAAACTTATGGAGAGCATGTGGGTTTCAGAATCTTTATGGATTCCATCCTCCTGTCAATCACCAGAAAGGTACGTTCGTAAAAATGTGTAAACCCCAAAATGTTTTAAGAATTTGAATCTTTAGCTGTTCATTAATACATTTAATTTGTCACTTAGACATTACATTATATGACATTGCTTTTCTGTTCCCAATTCCATATGAAATGTACTTTTTTATTCTGCGGTTATAAGGATATAGGGATATTTAATTACTGCAAGAATGAACAACATCTCCATGAATTTGCAAGCCACAATAGGCCAGTGTTTTGTCTTTTTTTAAATAAATATATATTTTCTAATGCCTTCCATCAATACCAGCATGCTTTAATGTGTTGTATTATCCGTCCAGGTGCAGCTCCCTGATCTGGAGTTCTTTGTTAACCTGGGCGACTGGCCGTTGGAGAAGAGGAAACCCAGTGAGAGGATTCACCCCATCTTCTCCTGGTGTGGCTCCAACAACACCAGAGACATTGTCATGCCAACCTATGACCTGACAGAGTCTGTGCTTGAGACCATGGGAAGGTAAGTCCAAACTACCCAGCTTCGGGGACAGAGCCTTTCTGTGGCAGCTCCCAGGCTCTGGAATTCCCTCCCCCAAGATCTCCACACTCTTTCAGTCCAGCCTCAAACTAATCTCTTCTCCTCTCTGTCTATTCAAAGCCCCCACCCCCCTCATCGTCTTTGTTTGTCCTTCTTTTTTTGTTCTCCACTCACCCAACCCTGCCTTATATTGCAAAGCGACTTTGAGTCCAAGAAAAGCGCTATTTAAATACAATGTATTAATTTTTTTATTATGGACATTTAAGATAAATACCAACGATTTGTAGATAGTAAGCACTATTATTATTGTGCAATTCTACCACTTTTAGACTTCTTCAACTTGAAATACAGACATACTGCACATATTTTGTCACAGTTATTTATAATATTCTTGCAAAACATGTTTCGTTATATTTTGTATAATATTCGTTATGTTATGTAACTACTCACTGCTCGGGGACATGTAGGCTGTTGCATATGAACTGCAGTGTCACCCTGTCACAGACAGACTTAATAATGTGGCTCCACAACAAGCCTGGGTCTGGGTGCTCATTATTTCCTCAGTGTTGCTCATGCATTTTTATGCAGTGCGAGATAGCCAATTGGTGTGCGACAGCAAAAACAAGTTTGCTCGCAAATATTTTATTTATCTAAATATAGCTACCAGACCAGCTTTCCATACAACTCAATCATTAACTTTTTGACCTGCATAAATATTCTCTGCCTCATTATATACAATGTATGAGTCAATCACATAACGACAGATGCTGAGATAACGACATGTGTTCCCTCCAATGTACAGAGTGAGTCTGGACATGCTGTCGGTGCAGGCCAACACGGGGCCCCCCTGGCCGGAGAAGAACTCCACGGCCTTCTGGAGGGGCCGGGACAGTCGGCAGGAGCGCCTGGAGCTGGTCAAACTGTCCAGAGCCCACCCCGACAGCATCAACGCTGCCTTCACCAACTTCTTCTTCTTCAAACACGACGAGAGCCTCTACGGGCCTCTGGTCAAACACGTGTCTTTCTTTGACTTTTTCAAGGTGAGTTCTCCACACAAACACATCTCCTCACTATGGGTTGAAACGTTACCGCGTAAGATGAGAAGATACTAGGGCTGTTATATTAGTGTTGTCTGGCCCAGTAAGAGTAAACACTTAGCACTGCAGGGCCTTGCTGCTTTTAGCTAATTATTTTACAACCATAGGAACGTTTATTTTAGCAAACAAGCTCAGACCAGCAGATTTGACCCAATTTGCTTTGCTTAAAAAAGATCAGAAAAGATTAAAAAAATAGTGTCTGTTAAGAAAAGTGGATACAAAAAGATACTTTTCTCACAAGATTATGAACCAAACCAGCTCTCAATTTCCTTAAAATACTTGACCTACAGTATTTGCATCTCCTATGGGATGTGTATCACATTAGCATTAACTGAATGTGTGTGGTAGTGTGCAAAGACTTACTCCTTATGCAATTAAATAGGATATAAGTGTTTTAACAAACAATACTTCTATTATTATTCTATTCCATGTCCCCCACCAGTATAAGTACCAGATAAACATTGACGGCACTGTGGCAGCGTACCGGCTGCCGTACCTTCTGGCAGGAAACAGTGTGGTTCTGAAGCAGGACTCTGGCTACTACGAGCATTTCTACTACGGGCTGCGGCCCTGGGAGCACTACATCCCAGTCAGGGCGGACATGGGAGACCTGCTGGAGAAGATCCAGTGGGCTCGAGACCACGATGAAGAGGTGAGGAGGATGATAAGGATTATAGGCACAGTATGTCTGGCAGTAAGTCCTGTGACAAGTGTTGCAGTATTTTAGTGGGTTCAATGATACATACATCTATAACAGTTAGTCATAATGGAGTATTTTCTATAGTCGTTGTGATTAAATAAATAACCAAGTATCTATAATTCTTGATGTCTTTCAGGCTAAACAAATTGGACTGGCGGGTCAGCAGTTTGCCCGCACTAATCTAATGGGAAACAGCATATTTTGTTACTACTACCAACTTTACCAGGTAACATGATGCGAAAACATTTTTCCCTGCATATTTGTCATCTTGATGAACTTCTCTGCCTGTCGTCGTCCTCTGTGTAAGTACAATGTTCTTCTTATAGGGCTATGCCAAACTCCAGGTCACAGAGCCCAAGGTTCGTGAAGGCATGGAGCTCGTAGAGCAGCCCAGTGACGACCTGTTCCCCTGTTCCTGCCACAGGACCAGGGTGAGGGACAGTGTGAGTACCACCAGAACAGTCTAAACACACTGACCACAAGTGTCTCAAAGATGTCCAATAAATGTGGCACATGCAGCAATATCTGGAAGATATTGACAGAACTGCAATTATTCTCTCATATTAAATCTGAGTTTCCCCTTGTCGGAACAGTATATAGAGCCTGTTTTTACTTAAATTCATATTCCTCATGAGAGCCAGAACATTACAATATTTACTGGCCATCTAAATGGTCAAACCGGCTAGACAAAGATGTTTTTAAGTGTATCATTATGGTTGTTCTGTTCTGTTAAAGGCCTCTCTCACAGCAGCGATGTTGGCTTGTCATAGTAGGAAAGCACAGATGTTATTCATCACATTGACAAGGATCTGTTTTGTTCAAGTGTTCCACTAAGGCTTAGTGACTAAGCCATACAGTGAGCCAGCAAGCACACAAGCAGAGCCCTGAACATTAAACAGCTAAATGGAATTCAACTATCATGAATTATGTTTAACTGTGCTCTCCCGACTGTGAAAAAATGTCTTCTTTTAAAAAATAATTTGGTTTGCAAGTGTTATGTCAAGTGATGCAGTTAACCTCTATATATTAAGGGTCTCTAGCTACAAGCTCTTTGATATCAATGCCTGTATATTATCAAGAGGGAAATTAAGACACAACTGGACACAAAAAGAGGAAACATGTGCAAAACCACAATAGCTTCAAACAAATGCATTGGTTGGTAAAGGCATTCAATACAAAACACATGTATTGGAAAACTACTGGTATTAATATGTCATCTTTGTTACCACTCATCCTCATGAAGGACAATATGAATGTACAGAGTGTGGCTCCCTCTGGTGTTTACATTCTGTCACTACACCTTGCTAAATGAAATGCAGGGTGAACATAAACTGACAGTAATATGCTTAAAGCCCTGCACATACCCGTGTTTTTAATATGCTGGAAATTATGTGAAGTCACACAATTTTACAAAGTGAATGTGCAAGATTGATTTAGGGAAAGATTGATCCCAACATGAATCTTTGTGTCTGTTTTTCAGGCGAAGGATGAACTATAACTCCGGTAATTGTGGCCAAGCTGAAGAGGACTCCCTTGTTCCAGATACACAGCAACCCTTCAGATCTGAAATACTGCCAAATATTTTCAGAATGTTAATTAATTGTCTGATTGTTATGACGTGAATGAATGTCACATTCTCACCCTTTTTTAATAAATACATTTCTTTTTTTATGTGGAAAGTTATTGGTCTTATTTCTACTATGAAACACTTTATAATTAGCGTAAAGTGTCAACCCTAAAAAAGTGGTAGCGTTAATGCTTTGGTTATAAAGCAGAGCTGTAATGCCCCTCCTAAGCAGTGGATGTCAGTCACGTGTAGTAAGGTTGCACTGTGGATTTCAGTGAAGAAACACCTTGTTATGGACACGTTTAAAGAGGTAAATAGACAACTTTTAGCAATTGCAACTCTAAGTAAGTGCGTAGATACACAGCTAGCCAGCAAACCCTAGCTCTGTAATAACTAATAAGCTGAATTGCTTCGTGGAAGTAAGCGTAAGTGAACTAGTTGGAACGGCAGAGCAAGTCAATGTTTCTCAAACCAAGATTGGATGGGCTCTAACGTCAATGGGTTTGAATAGCGCTGTCATCGACATCGTGGATTTAGCTAACCATAGTCCACATTATGCGCTGGTGCTTTGCAGAGACTTTCAAGTGTGCCCGCTCATGGCTAATTTTGATTACCGCGGTGAAGTACGTTTCAGGTTCGCGCTGCTCCAGCGTCTGCACTGCAGTCAGACCACAGGGTTTCATTTAGTCACCATCAATGACCACAAAACCAATATTATGTTAAATACCTTTAACTTGCCCCTTCTGGTGGAAATAATGCAACAAAAAATGTATGTATATAAATGTGAACTATGGCACAATGTTTTTGATCACTTATGTTGAATTAGTGATCAACATAATTTCAGGGTTTTTTAATCAGCTTCCATGCCATGTTACCCCAAGATTCCAAATCCTTACCATATATAATTAGTACACTTACAAAATGAAAACCCCTTTCACTATTGGATTTTAGTGCTTCTTAAAAAAAAAAGTTTTACGTCTGCATTTTAATAGAAAAGTCTTGATTTTATCAAATGCTTTAATATCATGCGACCCAGTGTCTCTAGATACTTACCAGATATTACTACACTTGTTGAATTTTAAAAGGAAGAGTCCTTAATTTATTTGTAATAGATTCAATATGTGAACCAATGACTCGAAATCCCACTGGACAAGAAGGACACGCCTGTTTGTATTCGATGCTATAGAAATGTAATTGTGTCTTATTTGTTCAGTGTTTGTTGAGTCACCTAAAACTAGCTTCACTGGGTTTTTCTTAATCACCTTCCACAGATGTTTGTACCCAGCTTGATGTGAATGGTTAAAGATGGTGCTCACTTACTTTCAGGAAACAGTGAAGGTGCCATTTGGAACAAAGCACCTGGATGCTGCCTTGTGTTTCCCTTCCTCAGAAACAGATGTTCACACGGCCGTCATTCTCACACATGGGGCTGGTGGTGACATGAACTTCAAACATCTGGTTTCTCTGGCACATGCCTTAGCTTCAGATAGTTTCCTCTGTCTCCGTTTCACATGCAAAGGTTTAAACCTGGGTTATAGAGTAAAGGCTTACCGTGCTGTGCTGGTAAGCCTTTTCATTCATTCAAGAACTAGCTAATTATTTTTATTTGAAAATCAGTTTGATGCTCTACACACAAAACATCTTTTATTTTTTCTAGGACTACCTGAAATCTCAACAGAAGTTTGCCATAAAGCACATTTTTGTCGGAGGTGAGTTTAACAGTAGACTTACTTTACCTCACATGAAATAATAAATACAGGTATGCCAATTTTGTAAATACAGGTATGCCAATTTTGTAAATTCTGTGGTGTGGGCGTTTATTTTGTGCATGCACCTTGTATTACAACATAATTATCCATTTCAGTATTGGTAATTCTTCCCATTAACATTCCCTGGTTAATATAGTGCTTGGCAAAAAAAAAAAAAAAAACTGCAACATGAAAAAGAGCACTCACTAGCAATTATTTATTTTCTCAAATTCTCTATGACCTGTCCACAGGCAGGTCGATGGGATGTCGTGCTGCTGCAGCTTTAGCTAGGCAGCTGAGTGATGAATCTGAGGACGCAGTGCAGGGTGTCATCTGCCTGTCTTTCCCCCTGCACCCTCCGGGACAGAAACACGTTCATCAGCAACGGAGCGAGGATCTCAGAGGCCTTCCTGAACACATGTCTGTGCTGTGTGTGTCCGGCACTGAGGACAACATGTGTGACAGGGTGAGGCAGTTGGGCAGGCTCTTAAGTTTGACATTTCATACATACAGTTGTAAGATTTTCATTTTGTGTTTACATATGTATATGTGTGTTACTTATTAGTTCTTTTTTTAGCTTTTTATTTGTACGTTTTTTATGCTACCAGTTTGCCAATTTCAGATAAACATTTCCTTCTTATACTCTATCCTGTTTTGTTGCAATTGTTCAGTCAAATGTTCTACTATTTATAATATGGACTATATCCTACGATTTTTCATTGGATGTTTTTGTAGTATTCCTTTGTCCCAGCCTGTGAAACAATTTGTGTTTGTTTTTCTGATTTTGCTTTCTGCCTTTACCCAGGTCCTTTTTGAAGGCATGGTTAAAGAAATGAAAGCTCAAGTGGAGGTTTGCTGGCTGAAAGGAGGCAGCCATGGACTGACAGTGAAGGGAAGGCCGGAGGAGTCTGTGTTAGAGGAAGTGAATTTACAAGTCATCTCCTGGATGAATAAGCAGGCAGCGTAATTACTTTCAGTTATCAGATATTTCTGTGGTTTGTCATTTATTTGTATACTAGTTTAATAAAGAATATATATTTTTACACGATGTTGTCAATCTTTTTTTAAAGCATAATGAAATACCCGTCCCCTTCTGTGTTATGTAGCTTTTTATGCATGTAAACGGTCTGCAAAGTCACAAACCCTCAAAGTACACCCTGTAGCCAGTAAAACTACGATCGGAGTTTGACGTAACGGCTACACGGATTGGTCCACACCATAGACCAGTGGTTCTCAACTGGTCAGGCCTCGGGACCCAAGCCCCCAGGAAGTGCGCCGGAGTCTGATGAGAATATTCGTGCTGGTCAAACGGCGGTACTACACTTCCTTTAGGTTGCTGGACCCGGAAACACTTTTTCCCATTGACTTACATTGGGAAAGAGTGGTCTGTAACTCGTTGGATAATTTTTTTTAAACTAAATAAACTACCCAGTATGAACGTTTATATAGCCCTTATTAAAAACATTCGTTCCTCAAGTTGTACAAATGTGCTAATAAGGTTATTCTGAGAGTTATTTCCCTCTGCATTATGAACGCACATCTAACCCACGGGACCGCGCTGCCCGGCACGTTCATGTTACGTGTTCAGCACTACATGAGTTTCTCTTTACCCATGGATGCACAATAACAACGGACCATATCGCCTTACTGCCAGCCCACGGAGCTGTAATAATGGATATATTGCACATGTTTGCTGTAATTCATCATTTGTAAAATATTATACTACATGGGCTGTATGATGTAAATCTTGTACCGTAAATGTTGTATTAAATAAAGTTAATATTACCGACGTAGATTAACGTTCCTGTAGCTTCTTATTGCACTTGCAATTGTTTTAGTTACTTGTGGGCTACTTAACATGAATAATTACAGTTACTATCCTTCTACTCCATCACATTTCAAAAAGAAATAGGCTATTGATATTTTAACTCCACCACAGTAATCCATCATCAGCTTTACTTTTTAGATAAAGTTTTAACTCACAATTGATCATAACAGACTTGAACATATATATTTTTATATATTACCAAGTGGTTTCATGTACAACCCACACAAGTATCATGCTAAATGAAGCTCTGTTGCTTGGATATCACTAGATCCTGATGTCAGCGTAATATAAAAGTACATAACGATTGATGTGTAATTTAGCATAATTTACTAGCTAGCCGTAGCCGCTAGCTACTAACTGCCGCCTCGTTAATATAAATCCAGTACCATTGATTGATTGATTGAAAAGTTTATTAACAGCTTGTATATTGGGTACAGTACAGTACAGCTCAAAACATACACTTGTTAAGGGGATGCAGACCAGAGAAATACTTTCGTCTTGTTTACATCAGGGTCCCCCATTTCCAATTCATCATATCATTTAAGACATATAAGACATATTTGACATACAGATTAACAGCTTATTTACAATTTACATACAGGTGGGTTTTTACATACAGATTGCTTATTTACAATTTTCATTTTAGATTTTGTTCTAATACATCCTAACCAGACATTTAAGACATACCAAGTCTACAGATATACAGTTAGTAACAGAGTCTAAAATGCGAGTATATACATAGATGGGGGGGGGGGGGGAAGCTGTACATTGTACGACAGGTTGAGATTTGTACCATTACCGGGGCCAGTTTTGCAATGCTCTCCCCCGAAGGTGCTCTTTAAGAGAGGTTTTGAAGGTAAGTATAGTTTTACTTTCCTTTACAGTTGTGGGAAGAGCGTTCCACCTTGATGTGGCATAATTGCGAAACGTGTATTCCCCCTTTTTTGTGCCAAATCTGGGTTTCACATGATTTGTGGAGCTCCCTCTGGTGTTATGATCATGGTATTTGTTAAGGGAAATGTTTACATAATGTCCTCAGTTATTGTATGTATAAAGAGATTGTGTCTATTCTGTACTATAGGGATGTAATACTGTTATTGTACCACTGTGAGGCACTGTAGTATTACGTGCTACGTAATGACCAGTCTTGCGTCATGTAAATGAGGGTGTGTTCACCTGATGCACGTGTACACTGTCTATGTTTGTTCTCTTCTAAGTTAGTTCGGCTGAGCGAAGGAATCACCTGTGAAGCAGAGGAATAAGTCATGCTCAAGGGCTAAACAGTTCATCGTCTCCGTCTCCAATATTTCTCTCCGAGTGCAGCGTAAGAAGAAGCTGCCATCCTAAACCTCAACAGTATTCCTTGACCTTTGGGAAGAATTTTGACATACATGGGTACCATAGAGGTGTAGTGGATCTTGTAGACCAGGCCCATTGCAAGTAGCTGTACTCTGTCGTCTACTCTAAGCCATCCTAGGTTGTCAAAGTGGGCAGAGGTGAGGTGGGTTCTAGATGAAAGGTCAAGCAGTAGTCTGACCAGTTTATTTTGCGATGTTTGAAGTTGTATTTTTAGCGCCTTGGAGGTGCTATGGTACCATGACGTGCAAGCATAGTCATAGTACCCTTGAATGAGTGCTCCTGCCAGAGTTTTCAGGGTGTTTTTGTTTACCAGAGAGGAGATCCGGTATAGGAATCTAGTTCTTTGATTGACTTTTTTTATTACATTGGATGCCATTTTGTCACAGGAGAGGTTTGCCTCAAGAATAGATCCTAGGTATGTAATTTCCTTCTTACTTGTGACAATAATGTCACCCACTGCAACTGAGAAGTCGTCGGATTTGCTGAGATTATGTTTCGAACCGAAGAGAATGGACTCTGTTTTACCCAGGTGTAATGATCATTTATTATCGGCGAGCCAGGTGCAGATTCTGCCGAGCTCGGAGCTGAGGGTTTTTTCAACCTGCAATCTGCTCCTGTCAGAGACCAGCAGGGCTGAGTCGTCCGCGAACAGGAACAAGTTGCAGTCACATGCTGATGACATGTCGTTTGCATAAATTAGGAACAGTAACGGACCTAATATGCTTCCTTGTGGAACACCACAGCTCACTGGGAGGGGGGGGACAGAGTACCGTTTACCTCCACCATCTGTTCTCTCCCCTCCAGGTAGGATTGCATCCAGCTCACCGATAGTTTATCAAAACCTTGCCATGCTGTCATGAACGCGCACGTGTACGCAAATTCACGTGCTTAATGTGAACAAGTCTTTTGGGGCGGCGTGGTTAAAGTTGCGCATGCTCTATGAGTGCACATACGGGTACTTCTCAGGCCTGCCGGGTAATCTGTGACGTTTCGCTCTCTCAAAAGTTGGGCCATTTTGTCATCATGCGCCATTGAGCAACTAGGCTTGTTTGAGACGCGTTGCGGCTCGCCTCGAAAGTAGACGAGAATAGCCGATCGCAGCCGGAGGAGGTCTCAAAAAGCTCGCCTGAAGTCGGACAGCTCGGAGTCGGCGTCGTCTTCTTCTCTCGGTTTTTTGGCGGATTGCAAACAACTTTAAGGTGCATACCGCCACCTCCGGAGTCGGCTTGACTCGGTTTGCATTTATAAAGAATGCACACATGTGTTTAATCGTTAATGTCAGATATGTACTAAGTAAATACATTTGTTCCTGCTCCAGATTAGATTCAACTTTATTGTTATTGCACATATTACAGGTACTGAGACAACGAAATGCAGTTTAGCTTCTAACCAGGTGCAACAAGCAGTAAAGTGAAAAGCAATGTACACAATCTACAGAATAAAATATAGAATGAATTGAATGATGAATAAACAGTGAGGGGTATGAATACACTAGATATACACAGCAGCCTGAGAGCAGTATGAACAGTGTGTATGAATATGCTAAGATATATAAAGTATTAAAACGGTAAGCAGTGCAAGTATAGTATAAAATATATGGATATTAATTAATGATGATAAATATTGTGGAACAATGATGAAAAATGTGAATGGAAGTGGCGACGTAAAACTGACACAAAACAACAACATTTTGCCCAGCCAATTGGAGAGTTTCATCAGCAGCACGTGGAAAAAACCACCAATGAGCGTTCAGCTCGAGATACCAGCGAGTCGTTTCCCATCAAGCATAGCTTCCGCAGCCCGTGGAGAGGAACTGCGCCGCCTCGCCGCGCCTCGCTCTCAAGGCTGCGGGCGTCTTTGTCCCGCGAGATTTCAACGTCTCATGTAGGCGAGCCTCCAGAGCAAGTCGGACAAAATGACTAACCATCATGCAACGCACGAGCAAGACGTTGATCGAAATTGCGCAGGTCTGCGCAGGTCTCGCTTGTCTCAAACAAGCCTACTCTCTTTGGAATGAATGAGGCCCCGCCTCCCACGCTGTATCCAGTTCTTATTACGGCCCGTACACACAGCAGCTTTTGGCGATTTGTCCACCGCTTCCAGCGCGTCTCCGCCCATTGACTTTGAATGGGGATGACGTCACTTTCCCTCGCTTGTCGCCGAACTGCATTGTGGGGGGGCGAGGCGAAGATTTCCAGGATTTCCAGGATGTTCAAGATTCCAAAGTTGAACAATGTTCAACTTTTGAGGCTCAGCTGGAAGCGACAGCCAATCAGATCCGTTTATGCAAATCTTACAGTTCAAGCGCTAGCCAATCAAACCGCTTGCAAGCTGGGAGAACCAGACCCGCAGTTCATTTCTATATTCCACAAAAATGGAGGAGAACTTAGTTATTGCGGTAGCAAATCACCCGGTTCTTTATGACCAGTCCCTATTTACTTACCGGGATACAAACCGGAGGAACCAGGCATGGAGGGAGGTGGCAGAGGCAGTGGGTGAAACTGGTAGGTTTTCGCTTGTTTGGGGATTTTATATCCAGTTTACTTACTTGCTAGTTTACTTCGTTGCTAGCAAGCATAGACAGTATCATTAGCCAGCATGGAATGTAGCATAAAATAGCACCATAAACATTAATCTCATAAATGTTCAAAATGTTAAAAAAATAAATGTTCATCATAGCCCTTCCTATTTGACAATAGTGTAGAAGAACCGGGTTTTTTTGCTTTGTATGTCGGGGGCGGGATATTCATGTGATATTCATGTGATTGGTTGTTGGTCGCGAAATCCCCAAGCTGTCAGACACGCCCAGCTCCAGGATTTTCAAGATTTGGTCAAAGCTGCTGTGTGGACACACCGTTACGGCCCGTCCACACAGCAGCTTTGAACAAATCTTGAAAATCTTGGAGCTGGGCGTGTCTGACAGCTTGGGGATTTTTTGCGAGCAACATGACCAACAACCAATCACATGAATCTCCCGCCCCGACATACAAAGCAAAAAAAAACGGGGATTTTATGCGAGCAATATATATATATATAAACTCCCCAAACAGGCGAAAACCTACCAGTTTTCACCCACTGTCTCTGGCACCTCCCTCCATGCCTGGCTCCTCCGGTTTGTATCCCAGTAAATAGTTCTGGTCGGAAAGAACCGGGTGATTTGCTACCGTAATTTCTCGTTTGGAATATGAGGAAATGAACTGCGGTCTGGCTCTCCCTGCTTACACGCGGTTTGATTGTGAACCGGGATTTTTTGCTTTGTATGTCGGGGGGCGGGATATTCATGTGATATTCATGTGATTGGTTGTTGGTCGTGAAATTCCCAAGCTGTCAGACACGCCCAGCTCCAGGATTTTCAAGATTTGGTCAAAGCTGCTGTGTGGACACACCGTTACGGCCCGTCCACACATTCAGCAGTAGATTGTGTACATTACTTTTCACTTTACTGCTTGTTGCGCACCTGGTTAGAAGCTAAACTGCATTTCGTTGTCTCAGTACCTGTAATATGTGCAATAACAATAAAGTTGAATCTAATCTTGAGCAGGAACAAATGTATTTACTTAGTACATATCTGACATTAACGATTAAACACATGTGTGCATTCTTTATAAATGCAAACCGAGTCAAGCCGACTCTGGAGGCGGCAGTATGCACCTTCAAGCTGTTTGCAATCCGCCAAAAAACCGAGAGAAGAAGAAGACGAAGCCGACTCCGAGCTGTCCGACTTCAGGCAAGCTTTTTGAGACCTCCCCCGGCTGCGATCGGCTATTCTCGTCTACTTTCGAGGCGAGCCGCAACGCGTCTCAAACAAGCCTAGTGAATACACATGCTATATACAGAGATGCTGTATGAGAAACCAATGTGATTTTGGAACATTGAACAATGTAAATCTATTCTAGTAGACCTCAACAATGGAATTATGATCAGTAGAAATGGCCATGTCATGGGACCTTTACGGCAGCATAAAGTTACATAACAGTCGTTACTCTACTCCTGATAGCATGATACATTTAATATCGTAGTAGGCTAGGTAAAAAGGTAACTGTAAATATTTATTTTTTAGACCACTGAACTAGCTTAACATAAAATAAAAATAAAAACTATCCTTGGCATCCAATCAATTTGATAATTGGTTACCATCATCGTGGATAAAAAAAATTCCAGAATCATAATGTTTATTGACTTAGTGACATTCATACATTCACAAATTAGATTTTATTCTTAAAGATCAAATGCAAAGCTTTTTGTATAATTGCCAGTACAATCGAAATCATATAGCTACAACACTATCTAAGATATTGCAGTATTAAAATCGGAGATAATATGAGTCTGGCAATGCGCAATATTAATTTTGTTCACACCAAGTCCGACGATTTATTTTCTCCGCCGCTCCTCCGCAAGATGGCGGCGCGTGACGTCAGATGTGCCAAACATATTTCCACCTGGCTTATCAATCACAGCGGCTTCCGCCGATAGTACAACTAGTTTCGTCTATCATGTCTGATTCTGAGTAGACTATAGACTAAAAGCTTTAGGAATCCAAACTATAACATATAATAAGTACCCTGTATCAAAATTGATGCAAAACAAGTGAAATTTGACCTTTTTAGAGAGGTTTAGACAAATAAAGTCCAGGCGCTCTGAGTGAGCCTCTGAATTAGCCCCGAGCGAAAAATGCTCGCAGCGGCTCACAGCGGCTTCCGCCGATAGTACAACTTAGTTTCGTCTATCATGTCTGATTCTGAGTCGGAGGCCACCCAATATCTGGAGTATGTTGTCGACATCCAACCATATCTATACGAGCCTCTGATGTCGAAGAGGAAATACAAGGAAACGTCACCTGATATCACCGATGAAAGTGCTGATGGCGATGATTCAAGTTCGCCATCTGAGGAAGAGGCCGAGGGTGCTGAGAATTGGTGTAGATGTGGAAACTGCCAGACCATGCATACAAGCCGAGAAAACAAGTGCTGCCACAACTATAGGAAAGTGAAGGAAGAGATGGGAGAAGAAGTCTGCATCACCGACTGTAGGACGTTCGACATTTTCCGTTATGAGTGGAGGAGCGATGAATGAGCTGCAGATAAACTACAATGCTAACAGTGAATTAGCCCCGAGCGAAAAATGCTAACCTATCACTCCTATCGCCCTTATTACTTATCCTAGCTCCACATCCAACACATTGTTTATGATCGTAAAGACACAGAATCTAACGGTGCCCACCTCTATAAGCAATACAACTGCAATTCCGTTATCTGCGTTATCTGCTGTGCTCCGTGCGCTTTGAAATCCAATCAAAAGTTGTTTACCTCAATTCTTTGGCGTTTCTGCATCGCCCGGCTCTTTCGTTCTTTCAGTGGTTTCTTGTGCTGAAATATGGAGGGGACGGCTCCGGGTTTCAGCCTCCGACGTGCTATTAATGCTTCTCCACCAACAGACTTCATGATAGCAGGATCAACGTCGTATGCATCACACGCGAAGTGGTCAGAACACAACTTGCTCCATTTTGTCGGTTGCCATCCAACACGATTCACTAAAAAAATCCATTTTTTGCGGATGATTTGGTCTTTGGGAAATGCATGTAAAACTCTCCCAGATCCCGCACCGTTCGTACAACAACAAGCTCAACAATAACCCATGTTAATTCAGTTTTCTTTTCGAAAAACATGTGACCGAGACTGCCGAGTCGGGATATTTGGTCCAGAGACTGTTTGGCCACTATTACGTCACGCGCGCGGAGGCTGCTGGGAATTACATGTCAGAAATTCAGACGGCTTTGGGTCGAGTTTTGGATCAATAAAAAGCTTTTTTTTGGGTGTATTATCTCGATTTAAATAAAATAAAAAATACAGGCAGTCTTAAAAACAACATTTCTATAAAAATGTAGCATATTTGGAAGCTTTGGATTTGATCTTTAAACCATAGGCTTTAAACTGAACTTCAATGTGTGCTCTGCGCCTTTAACTCTGACGTTAACATTTAGTCGAATGTGATTGGTTGGTCGACTTCCGCATTTTTTCTCCAGTGAAGCATGGCTGGAGAACCGTGGAACAGGGTCAACATTGCCTTTCCCGGTGCTGTTTCTTGTGTTCGTGTTCATTTCAACTCAACCACAGGTACAATGTACTGTTCGGATTCTCATTAGCTAAATATGTAGACTTTGTAACGTGATGTCTGAAGGAAAAACTGAGCTTAAAACACTAAATGTGTTGCATTTGCAACCCACGTGTGAGGAAATATATCCACCCCTGAGCGATGTTGATGTTGTTGTTTGTGATGATGGCTAATAATCGGTGATGTGTTGTTGCTGTCATGCAGATGCATGTGTTAAATCGCTGTTGGTGAAAAATGCGAAGGTGCTTCAGCTTCTTCGCAGTGAGATTCTTCAGACGGAGGTACGAGTTCTCTACGAGCTGCTGTACATCCTAAATAACAGCTACAGAGGCAACAAGACGTTCAAAGGCTTAAAGCAGGTGAGGACTGTAGATTAAAAGCCACACCTGGCCGCTACAGGATGCGTGCTGCATGATCCGTTTTGATTTGGAGATGGAGACATGTCAGTCATTCAGGATTCACTGTGTGTTAAACAGAAAAGTCAGAGAGGTCAAACTAACAAATCCAAATAACTAACAACATGTTTCATCTGTTGTCCTATCCCTCACAGGTTGAACAATGCATAAACAGGCTGAAGAACATGAAGCTTGATGTTGCTCTTCAGGAGCTGACAGAGCTGTGTCCCAACAGAATTCAGAGGTAGATGGAAAGCTTTATCGGTTTAGTGTCCTGTGCTGTCTTTGCCTATTGTTTACAGCACAGCATCAAACACAGCTGTTTAAATTACATGCTTTAAATGAGAAAGCCAGCATGAATAAAAAGTAAACAATAAGCATACTGGAGCCTGATATTGCTCCAAATAGACGATGCAGACCAATAATATCTAAATGCTCATAGCACAACAGTGTTGCATTTAGTTGAATGTGGGAGGCTGTAATTATGTATTTTTCCCCTGCAATAACATGTGTGTTTCAGAGGGCTGAGTATCACGGCTGGTGTGTGTGAGCTCCCCAGTCAGCCCATGCTGGAGTGGCTCTGTCTCAAAGTGCTGGGAGCCGCAAAGCTGATGAGCTGCACGTTGAATCGCTGCAGTAGAACTTTCTCGTATCCTTTCCAGAGGAAGAGTCATCTAGACTCAAATGGTATAGATAGCCACACAAACGCATAACTGGAAAATGCATGTGGGAGCTGACATAGGTATGAACAATAACAACGTACGATACTAAATCAAACCCATACGGCATGACAAATATTCAGACATGTCCGGCTTTCTTTTAGTCACACACAGATGTATCATTTTAAGTTATGTAGTTTGTGTTGTTTCTTTTGTTTTTGTACACTGATGGGGAATTTCATCAAAATGGTCTATTTTGCAATTGAATCTCTTCGTAAATCTCAGCTTTCTTGATGTCACATAATTGCTTTGTCCTTAAGAGATGTGTGCTTCAGACTAACAAAGCAGCAGATGAAATGGGAGGAGTTCATCATCTTGAATATGGTGATCACCAGCCTGCTCAGTCGCCTCTGGTGAGTGCTCTTCCTCATTGCCACAAGGCAGCGTTGCATGTTGGCGCCTCCAAATGGCTGAAATAGTGAAATGAGTGTTTGTTTAGAAACCGCTACAGCTGATCTATATCTCCCTGCCTTATGCTTCACCAGGGTGATCTCCAGAGGGATCCTGGTCAGCCTGTCCTCTCTGTACCAGCAGCTCCTGGAGCTCCTCAGACCTGTAGCCGACGCCCAGCCCATGCCCTTCCTCACAGACTTCCCCCTGCCAGCAGATATGCTTCAGTTCCTGGGTCCTTCTGATGCCTTATTACTGACCAAACTAGCAAAGGCCAAAGTAATCAAGAAGAAGAAGAAGGAGCAGCAGCAGCAGAAAGACAAGAATCAGGGAGCGGCGAGAAAGGTCAAAGAAGATGTGGGTGTTACTGTTGAAAGAGGTGTGTAACTCTTTAATAGTTCTGTAAACGGTATGACACATTCAATGCAGAACAGGAAAGTGGCCCTAACGGACACACTCACTCTCGTTTGGGGGTTACAGTTCTAAAAACGGCAAATGGTGACTCATCAGTAGGTCTTTTGTATCAGTGAGTAGTTCTCCCAGCTACTGATAATTTACCAAATCATCTTCATTGTAGCCATATGTGATTTACACCTGATGGTTTGAGTAAAAAGCCTTGTTTCAAATAAAGCTGCAGCAAAACGTTTTTTATTGTTAAGTCGATCGACAGGAAAATAACTACTTTGAGAATTGATTAATCGTTAGGTAGTTTTTTCATCAACAAAAAGTTTTCAGCCTTTTAAAATATGGATTTTTTTCTCTTTTTATATCTTATATAACTGAATAGCTTTGGATTTGGACTCACACACAAGACATCCCCTGAGACTGATAAACTGTGATAAATATTTTCTCAATTGTTCCGATATTTAATCCATCAATAGAATAATTGTCAGATCATTCGATAATGGAAATAACTGTTAGTTGTAACCTTCTTCTGAACCCATTTTCTCACCTTCTATTTTTTAAGAGAATAATAATCATTTATTTTCTTTTTTTCAGCAATATGTCTGGATGCGGGCATGAAGCCTTTTCTCAAGGTTTTCAGGGACTTCACAGAGGTATGTATCCAAAATCGGATTCATTATTGTTTCATTCTTTTATCATTTACAGAATATTTCCATTGTTCAGTGCTGCAATCTCCTCCAATCTAATTACTTTTAAATGTTTGTTACCCAAGGGCAAATCCTTCGAACAGAAAACGCACAAGGCTGACCGTAAACTAAAGTTCAAGAAACAAATGGGAGAGGCTGCTTCTTTCACAGACATGGCGTCCCATCTCGAAGAAATGACCCCATGGTGTGAATCCCAGAAGATGGAAAAGGAAAAGCGCTTTTTAAACTTCCTGCATTTAAAGTGCCAGAGGATGAAATGCCTAGAGGCAGCCGGTTACAGGTAAGAGCCACACTGCAGAATACACACTCAGCCTCTACTTTATGAGAATCCGTACAGGCTAATGCTATTCAATACAAAAATCTTGCCATATATTCTACCTTTACCAAGTTTATAATGCAATTGTGTTAATTAAAGGGGACCTATCATGTAAAATGCACTTTGTGATGTCTTTTATACATAAATATGTGTCCCCGGTGTGTCGAAGAACTCACGCAGCGTCAAAAAATAAAACCCTCTCTCTTTTCCTCCGTACCCAAATCTTTTAAAAAACGGGTGTACAACGAGCGGATACAGATTTGCTGCCGATCTGACGTCAAATCGGCAGCGGACCCACAGAAAGTTGCCATCAGAAACAATGCCTGACGTGTTTTGGACGTAATCTCGTCTTTGTTTACATTAGCAAGCCTCGCTAACACTCAGTAACCTGTACTGGAGAGCACATGTGTTTAAAAAGCAGGAAATAAAAAAAGAACTCACCTTGTGATAAACCCGCAAGAGAAAATGCATTTGAGCTCCATACTGTTTCAGAAATAATCCTTGACGTGGTTTAAACAGGATGGCGTTTTATCACAGCAGAATTTAACTTTATCTCCGGTAGAATTCTGATCAGACATTAGCTCCGCCTCCTCTTTTTAAATTTTTCAAGCTAAGGACCCAAGATCTGCGTTTCTCTAATACCTCATTCACACCAACGCAACTCCGGTTCAAGCTCCGTGCTAGAGCTTTTCAGGTTCAGAACCGGTTCTTCGGGTTTAGCTCCGGCTCTTTTCACACTGCCCAGAGTGCGATTGGTGCTACGTCATTGCGTCATCGTTTGCGTCATGACGTAACCGTTTGCGTGCCTGCTTCATAAAGCCAAACCGCACGGAAACCCCTCATAGCTCACACCGACAACAACAACAATGGCCGATTGTGCTCCAGCTTCCTCTGTACCTCTTCGGAAGACCAGATTCCCAGTAGGTAGCTGGTCTCTTCAGTGGACCACTGCTGCTTGTTAAGTTTATCCATCGTTGTGTACAAACTGGATAAAACGCCGGCTTTTTGTTGTTGTTCAGGAGTTGATCCCGCCCCTGCCCCCGCCTCGACGTAAGTGTGACGTATGCGGCGCTTTTGCTCTGGCCGGACAATTTTATGGTGCTCGAAATGAACCAGATTCCGGAGCTAAGAGGCTGCTCCGCTGCGGTGTGAACAGGAAAACCCGGTGCTTTTCAAGCTCCAGCTCCGAACCGGCCCTGAAACACTGTTGGTGTGAATGAGGTATAACAGGGCTGCAAAAGAGGGGTATGAGCAGTATGAGGCATGGCTACAATGGGTGAACTGTTTGGTATTTTAACCAAAAACCTTCACAGACATGTTTTGTATAGGTATGGCCCTACAATATATTTTTCCAATATAGCATAATAGGTCCACTTTAAATGATGTCACTTAATAAAGTGGCCACTATGTGTGGAGTTGAGGAAAAACAAGATACTTTAGTATTGTGTGACACCGATTCTCCTGATACTAAATGTGCATTGTTCTATCATTTCTCCTCATCTCCAGCGTCCAGAAGAGGTTACACACCTTCAGACAGGAAGCTTGCTGGGCTTTATGTCCACAAGGCTCAGTGCCTAAAAGCTGTCGATCCTACGCTGCAACGCGTAGACACAACCGCCTGAGAACCCATTTCCAGTCCCTCAGGAGTCGAATCAAGTCTTCAACTTTGAGAACTGGTGTGAAGAAGACACAGCTGAAGAGACAAAGGAAGAGGAAGAGGACTGAGTCAGGACCGTCAGTGAACGACCGAAAAAACCGGACTATGGGCAATTTGTCCCCGGCATTACAGACCAGCGCCTGTGACGATGACATCGATGATATATTTGCCTCTGTAGGTTTTTGACACTTTGGAAACAGACACATCCAAGAACACAAAAGACTATCGAGCTGAGCTTAGTATACACATGCTTCTGTTTTTAGAAGAAAGATGATTTCATGTGTAATGAAGGCGGATGCCTTTATGAAAGGTGCTACACAGCAGCAGTTACTTTTAAAAGGAACTAAAATGTATGAAGTTGTATTTCTTTTGTTGGTTTTCAAGCCTTAATGGATAGAACAGTAGAGGCAAACAGGAAACCGAGGAGACAGATAGGAAAAAGGTAATTATTTTAGACTGAGGTGTTTTTATGGCTGAAACCTTCCCTTCAGTTTTAAATCAGATTTTGAGCCATATTACCATTTTACATGAGAAAAATCTGTACTTCAGTGCAGGACAATTATGAAAAGGAAATGTTATGCTCCTGGTAAAATGCTCCAAGTCTCGCATTGGTTGCCTTTGGCAAAGGTACTACTTATTTCAAATGAGAACAAAAATATTCATAGAGCAACTTTTTCACAATACATAGGCTGTCCGGACAAGATATTCATTACTGTTCTGTTGTCACGTTTATACATTAAAAACACTGTCAACTATAACTCAAGTATTGCATACAGTACTCTAATCAAACTGTTCCCAACACTTTTCAGGAACGAAATGTCCAACCTGAATAGTTCATTGATGGTTCAGTTGACTGAGGATTTGCTTAAAGAAAAAATAGATGAGCTTAGATTGTTCCTGCACACTGAAGCCATATTTTTAAGGCACTAAAACCCAAGTGTGGCTTATACATTCACTGCTCTGATGGTTACAGCACACTCGCTGTAACACACCATAATTACAGCTATCAAGTGCACCCAGCTATCAATCTTGTTCCACCCTCTGAAGGCAGCACTACAGTTTAATAACATACCATGTCTTATGCACAATGCAATCAATTTAATGAACCAAGACATACTGGGAATACCTATTTTAAGCTGTAAAAGCCATAATAGTTACACATCCCTTTTTAATGGTATTTCTGGCTCCATCTGGTGGAGGTGATAACTTCTTTCAATTGTTGGTTCCAGACTATTGATTGCTCTCAATATGGAATAAATCCCTCAACCTTGGTGATTTGAATGCCCTTAAAATTAACAGCATGAGATCACAGAGCTGTCAATCTTGTAGGTGTGCCTGCAGAGACTAGGAGTGATATAAACAGACAACACACTGGCAGTGCTATATAAGTGGGCAGAGTGGCCCCAGATCTCTGCCTTTTGAAGTCCTGTATAAGAGCTGTGCAGGTGCGTTTGCCTCCACGTAGCAATGCAGGTGTCTGGCAGTCCATTTGTACTCAGAAGTGCAGGCTGTGCACCAACCCCTTTGGTTCTCTCCGCCCACCATCTTATCATCCTCTGCCAAAGAAGAGACACAGTCCTCCCATCTTCACAAATACAACGGTCTTCCCCCTCACTGAGCACTGGCTGAGTTGAGTTATGGTCTCACACATCAGCCTGCATATCATTCTGCAGATTCCTGATTGCTGTGCTTTCTGGGTTTCATCTAAACCAGTTAGTCAAGCTCAACATTGGTTCTCTACGGCAATGAGGGAAAGGAGCAGAGAGAAAAGCCTTCGTTCTGTATGCACAGGCACACGGGTAGCCAGACCTGCGCTGTTAGGAACTCTGCCAAATGCTTTGGGTATTCAGATTCCTACTCTTCATAGGAGGGACAATTTGACAGGCACAAACAGGGACATACACACAAGCAAAACTATGTTACCGTTATTTTACCGTGCATGCAATGTGCACAGTTCTCTCTGTGTCCTATATTGAACCACTCAGTTTGCAGCTACTTCAACCAACAACAATAAAACAAATTTTTTTTAAAAGTCTGATATCTTGCAAATATTTGCCTTTGTAGATGTATGTTACGTCCCGTCCCTCTACCAAGCGGTAGTGGCTCGTGGGAAGACCCGCAACATAAAAACAACCACGCAAAACACAGAATTTAGTTATCGACGGGCATTTATTTTCAGCACAGCCGTAACTCACATGCATGCCTACCGGCAATAAGGAACCAAGTCTGGAGGATCGTAAAACAAACACAAAAAAAAAAAGAAGAAGGGGGCCTGGGCCACACCATGGGTAGGACCCAGACTTCCCTCCTCTGCCCAAAGGTCCAAACACAGCCTACTGGGAAGGAAACAAAGCCGCGAAAAACCTATACTAACATACATATATATATATACAAGTCAATACCATAGGCTAACTTCTGCAATAGCTCCACTTTGGGTTTGGTCTTTTATTCCGCTGTACACCTGCATCATTATCAGTCTGGGGCACTGCTTGAGTGGGTAAACCATAGAGTGTGAGACAACCTGTCAGCAAGGAGGTATTTAATATAGCATATCATTTTAATAGATGAATCCAAATGGGTGGTTCAGTGCTGGTAGGCCTACTGAGCATAGTTTTGTTGGAAATGGGTGTTTCTCCAGGGATTCTGGGAAATAATATGACCTAAAACAGGAGAGAGAATATGAAGGTCTGCACTCCCAATATGCTGTAATTCAATTCATTTACCTCTCACCTTAATAGCAGCAGGGGAAGAGAGCACATTACAGTTTCAGATCTATGGCATGGAACTAAGGGATTCTCAATATCTACAGAATACTCAGAGGTGTAGAAAATCACATTATTACCTCCTCCGAGACTAAATACAAAAGCCTCATGCATCAAGCTGTTGCAGTGCTATGTATTACTCCGCCTGGTCTCCAGCATCTCAATGATGGGAAAACAAGTAGACAACAAGCAAGGTCGAAGTCCTCATTAAGGCCTGAGGGGGACACTGAATAACAGTGCAGCCAATATTATATATTGTCAGGGTTGGGAGGGTTACTTTGTAAATGTAATCAGTTACTGATTACTGATTACATGGCTCTGAAAGTAATCCGAATACAGTTACAGTTACGTGTCTTAAAAAAGTAACGTAATCAGATTACTTTTAGATTACTTTTGGATTACTTTCTTTTTCCATCACAGATGGGTATGTTTTGGTGTACAGGAGACACAAAAAGCAAAAGGAATGTGTTTTTACTGTTTTAATGGCTTATCAAGAGCACAACTGAAACACAACATCTGAAACGATTGTAACAACATAATTAACTTTTTGGGGATGCAGTTTGGGATGTGAGGAGTGAGGGACACGGCTTTTAGAACGAGCGTGTCGCCTTCTGTCCTGCCAGTGTTGGCAGGACATGAATTAAAATGTCAAACTCGGACTTCATTTTAAGGACATTACGGCCAGGGGTGTGGAGCTATATTTGTTTAAGCACCGGATTGGCAAAACAGGAGAGTGTGTGCACCAGTCTGCCTTGATCTATGAATTCATGTCCGTGACTCTCACAGTATCTGCTGCCCGCAGCTGTTTTATAGAAGGAACACCTCCTTCACTTCATGAAATCTCTGCAGCACCAGGAGGCAGCGGGAGGGTTAACTCAGCCTCTGAGAAGACGAGCACGCAGTGCCTTTCACGCACCGCCTTCACTGTGTTTACCTTCAGAAATAATCATTAGTAAGGCTAAAGAAAGAGCGACCGCAGGCTGATGTGTTTTAACCACACACACCCGATTTAAACGCAGACTTGTGTTCCTCCATGTTTCGCTGTTATTGTTTCACTGAGCGGACCCGCGATTTTTTTTTCAAACGCTTTTTTGGTCCATCTGCGGCGGTGGTTAAAAGGTTTTTGTGGGCTGTGATGATTCGGCTGTACCTTTAGTAATGAATATTAAATGTTGTGAGGAAATCTTTCCACCAATAATTCCAATAAGTAATCCAAAATGTATTCACTTCAGGTTTACGAAAGTAACTGTAATCAGATTACTCGTTTTTCAAATGTAACGCGAGCTGAATACAGTTACTTGATTTTTGTATTCTGATTACGTAACGCCGTTACATGTATTCCGTTACAACCCAACCCTGTATATTGTCTAATGGCGCGTTTCCACTGCAGGCCTCGCTCGGTTTGGTTAGGCCTTATTAGGCCCGGCTCACTTTAATGCTGCGCTTCCATACAGTTTAGGAACTGGGGGTAGTTTACTATAGTAACGCAGTGTAGGCGGACCCGTGACGTCATCTTCAATGAGAGCCCCTGAAAAACAACACAGCCGTTAGCTCTTAGCACTCAGAGCTCACAGCTCTTCATATCTGTTCAGAAACTAGACAAAAGTTAAACAAGTACAAACCACAGACTGCCTGTGTCATGGCGAATACAGTCGCTGGTTTATTTATGTCTGTATAGGCCGTTGTTGTGAGTGTGGACGGTCGGAGCATATATAACGTTGAGCCAAGCTCCATTTAGAAAACATGCATTTTAAAAGGGTTTTCGCCTGCCGTCTGTCTGCAGACTTGTCAAAGCATTAATTCATGGTTTTTACTAACCGGTATCAGTATGTTGTTACTTCGGCATCATTTTGAAACGTGTATTACAATTAAATCACGGTCAAATATGTTCATCTTGTTGTAGTTGTAGCCCCCTTGCCAACGATTCTCTCTCTAGTTTAGCATACTCAGCCCGACTCAGCCTGGTTGTTCCTGGCCCTAGAACCACGATTAATTAGTCGGGTCAGAAAAAAGGTGAAAAAGTAGCCCCGGGCCAAAACTAGGCCAAGTGGAAACGCAACCAAAAACGGGCCCCGCACGGCTCGGTAGGCTTACAGCGAGCTACCCGCTGCAGTGGAAACGCGCCATAAGTGTATGTCCTTCTTAGCTCCCGTATAGGGACCAATAAGCCAAGTGCATTTAATTTGTGTTCATGTTTAAAAATGTAATATCTTGTGTACGTGAAGCATATGCATCCTCAGAATTCCTCATGAAGTGAAGTCTAATGTATGCTGTCTCTTTTTTTGTGTATTCACACTGGCTGGAAATACAACATGAATAATGTATTAACATGTTTAATCATCTCTAGAGTATTGTTTCTGCACATTTAATGTCCAAGAAAGTATGTGAACCTCTGGAGCATAACGGGCCCCTTCATTTTTGAAATATATTGTATGTGTGCTCTTACTCCCTTGATGCAATTAACCTGGAAAGAAAATAAAGAGTGCACACTTTTACATTCTCTTTCATTTCTGAGGCCAATGTCTACAGACCTGTGTGTTGGGAGAGCATAGTGACTACCTTTGAATCAACATATGACCTAAAAAAGCCCCCAGTTGTATACCATTCATCCATTTCATTACTCACTCATTCTCATTCAGGGCCATAGGGGCACTTTTATTGCAATGCAATAAGAAAAAGTACTGCCTGTGCTGTTACTCATTGTAGACAACATAAGTTTTAATAAGCTCCATTTGTTTTAAATATACATCTTTATAGGACTTCCTCATATACTTACATAAAAGTGTCTTTGGCACAGTGGTCTCATTAAAAAAAACTAAGCAAAAGTTAGATATAATGTTATGTCTAAATAATGTCAGGGTTGAAATTGGAAAGATATACCATTTGTTTCTGCTAATTCCAATTTCTGTGATCATCTGTCTGTCTTTTAAAACATCAGTGTTTGTCATATTTTCTTCTGTAATTTCTGAGGATCAAAATAGTCAAGTCAAATAGTCAATTT